TCACTTGATCGACTGGAGAGATTACTGAATATGAAGCCAATGTAGCCAATGGGAAGGGTTTAATTTAAAACTATCTAGGAGCTAGCATAGATGCATGACTGCCAGCCTCAAATGTGACCGTGGGAACAGGGGAGCTGCTGAAGCTAGTTGAGATTATGATCTGCTTAGCAAGAATGGGCATGCACAGAGAACCAGAGTACCAATCAAAACAAAACTGGTGCCTAGGATACAGAAAACATTCAGAACCATCTCAAAGTCAATCAAAACAAATGCCAGTGCTCAGGAAATTCAGGAATAAAGAACAACAAAAAGAACCAGTCATCATGAAGAGTCATTTACTAAAAACAGTCCATACAGAAGCACAAAAAAAAAAAAAAACACTGTGAGCAAGATTTTGTGTGGAATTTACACAACAGTATGTTTTCCCAGTATAAGACAGTCTGGGAGTTTTTGTCACCTATACTAACAATAGGATCTAAACGTGATTGTGTTTGAGAGCCTTAGGGGGCATTTTGGAAATTTGTGTATTTTTGGTAATACCAGTGTTGGGAGAAGGTGCTATCTACTGGCATTTAGTGGGTATAGACCAGGTAATTCTGACAGATTGGAATATGTACGTATGTATTTTACAGTGTTGGCTATCAAACACAGGGCCTTACGCAGCTGAATGCAGCTACTTCAAAAACAGTAAAACAGGTCACAAATATAACAGGATATTTGAGACTCCTTATAATAGTTAGAAACACTAAATTGACAGAGGCACATGAAATTTAGAAATCTCAGTGGATTTCATTAACAAAGACTGTTTTTAAATTACTTTATATTTCCATCCTGTATCCTTAAAGCAATTCTTTCTTTTTAATTTTAATTTTATTTTTTTAACCTCGAGAAATGAGACTTCCTCATTTGGGAATCTCTGTTATTGTCCCATGTCACTCTGATGTTTCCTCAGAGATGTACCACACAACTCCCTCAGAGCCTGCTGGTTCCTCCTTTTCCAATTTATCCTCTGCCATTGCCTATTAAAAGGTGTGGTCTCCAGGATTGATTTTGCTTTGTTTTAAAGTATTAGAGATGGAATTTATGCCTTATGTGGTGAGATTTCAAGGTAGAAAATGTTTTCTATAATCCTTTGTCGTCAAAGTATGACATTCCACAGCACAACAGGAAATTCCTTCTTTTGGAGGGGGGGCGGGTACTGGGGACTGAACTAAGTGGTGCTTTACCACTGAGCTACATCCCCAGTCCTTTTTAATTTTAATTTTGAAATGGTTATTAAGTTGCTGAGGGTCTCGCTAAATTGCTGAGTTTGGCCTCAAATTTGCCTCCTGCCTCGGCCTCCCAAGTAATTGGGATTACAGGCAGCACCACACATTCAGCTAGAAAATTCTTTTTTTTTTTTTAATTTTTTTTTGGTTGTAGATGGACACAATATCTTTATTTTTATTTGTTTATTTTTATGTGGTGCTGAGGATTGAACCGAGGGCCTTACATGTGCAAGGCAAGTATTCTACCACTGAGCTACAACCCCAGCCCCAGCTAGAAAATTCTTAAAAAACAAAACCTGGCTCATTTATGAGAAGTTCACATGTTCCTGATTTTCATACCTGAATTTCTCATATCCATAAACTTCCAAATTTTATTTACCTTAAAAGTATATAACAACCAGTGCATGCCTGAAATTCCAGCAACTCAGGAGCCTGAGGCAGGAGGATTGCAAGTTCGAGGCCAGCCTCAGCAACTCAGTGAGGCCCTAAGCAATTTAGTGGAGACTATGTCTCAAAATAAAAAATAAAAAGGGCTGGAGATGTAGCTTATTGGTAAAGCCCCTGGGTTCAATCCCCACTACCCTCCCCCCCAAAGTATTTAACATGTTTTTCCAGGTTTTCTCATGTTAAAGGTATTTCTCTCTTTGGCTTATCATATTCAATCTTGTCTGTATTACTTCTCCTAATGTGATTTTTTAAAAACCTAGTGTTCACCTCCACCTCTATTCCTTTAACTATCTACACTTTTGTATTGTGTATATCTCTTAAATTTGAATTTATATTCTCATTATTAGTGTTTCTGCAAATGGAAGGAATATAATGGAATTGGGAGCTTTGGGGAGTTTGGGGTCATAGTGGGAATGCAACTGACAGCTGACAAGGGATACATAAAAGGACAGTCAGCGGAAATCAAAGCATGAATTTGTACTGGACACAGTCACCTGGTTTTAGATATTCCAGCACAATTCAGGCAGCTCAGAAGTGGAGATACAAAAATGGAGGAACCCTGGCTGATGACAGGCATGGCAAACAGCCACAACATTCCTCTGCTTATAATCCTTCAAAAGCTTTCTGTTCTTTAACCTGACTTTCCGCTATCTGGCACTACCTATTTCTCTGGCTTCCTTGTGTACCACCGTTCCCTTGGTTTCAAAGCCCTGTCATACTATTTGTCATCTCTTAGCCTTTTTCCTCACCCTTTGCTTCAGCTTAAAAATTCTTTCCTCAAAGAAGCCTTCTCTGACTTTCAAGTCCAACACTCCTCAATAGTCATTCACCGTATACTTTATTTGTCTTTCATTGGACCTCTCACTATTACATATTTATTTGTATGAATACCCTTTCCTGACATGGACATAGCTTGTTGAGGCAGCACTTGATCTATTTTATTCATTGCTGAATTCCAAGCACCCAGTCTAGTGCCTGTCACTAAGAGGAACAGGTATTCAATAAGTTTATTGAATGAATGAAAGAAAGAAGGACTTAGCTATAGGACTTTGAGCAAGTTTTTGTTTGTTGGGTTGTATGTTTTAAGCAGATCTCCATTTCCTCATCTGTTAAATCAAGATAATCATAACTACTAAATCTCAGAATTGTTGTGGGGACTAAAAAAGACAATCCAGGTAATATGCTTAGCATGGTGCTTGGTACATGGTAAGGGATAGGAAGTGTTAGTTGTTATGGTAATAATTAAAAATAAGCTCTAGGAACAACTGAAACTCTTAAACATTGCTGACAGGAATGTGAAAATAATACAGCCAATTTGGAAATTAGTTTACTACTTTCTTATAGAGTGGACTACCATGCAATCTAGCAATCCCACTTCTAGGTACATACCCAAGTGAAATGAAAGCATATGTTTATACAAAAAAATCTCCACATAAATGTTTATAGTAGCTTTATTCATAATTGCACTAAACCGGAAACAACCCAAATATTTTTAAACAGAGAGTGGATAAATAAATTGTGATATATCCATACAATGAAATATCACTCATCAAAAAAGAAGAAATAAACTACTGATACATGCAAAAACATGGATGAATTCCAAATGTATTATGCTAAGCAAAAGAAGCCAGACTTAAAATGTGACATATTTTATGATTCTGTTTGTATGGAATTTATATGACATTCTGGAAAAGCCATTTCTCTAGGGACAAAAATAAGTTAATTTATTAACCAAGAATGAGGAAATTAAGGGGAATGATGGAAATGTCCTAGGACTGGATTGTAGTTGTGGTTAAATGACTACATGCATTTACTAAAACTCCTGGCATTGCAACATAAACGAATGAATTTTACTGTATGTAAATTATATCTTAATTTTATGGAAAAATATCCAGGACAAGTAGATAAAATTGCCTTTTCCTTTTATAAAACAGTAATTATATTTTCTGATTACAAAAATACTAGAAGCTGGGCATGGTTGCATATACCTATAATCCCAGCGACTCAGGAGGCTGAGGCAGGAGGATCACAAGTTCAAAGCCAGCTTTAGAAACTTTGTGAGACACTGTCTCAAAATAAAAAATAAAAAGAGCTGGGGCTCAGTGGTTAAGTGTCCCTGGGTTCAATCCCTGGTACCAATAAGCAAATAAATAAGTACTATAGTTTCATTTGGAAAAATGCAAAAAAATAATATATCCTTGTTATTATAGCCACAAAATACACACACACACATACACTGGTTCCATACAGTTTTTGCTTTCTGAAATACCTATTTTGCTTAGTTTGAAAAACACTGTGCATATTTCCCCATGTCATTGATTATGAAAACCATGATTTTATGTTTTATTGCGTAGTTAATTTATATCTAAGCATTCCTTTGTTAAGAATTATATTGCTTATATAATTATTTGTCATATTGAAAATAAGAAGGGATAAGGAATTATATTGTTTTCATTTTTTTTTACTATAAGCAATTTTCATAAAAAAAAAAATCTCAGTGGGACCAGGGACTATTCCACAATGTTCAACTGGTAAAACAACCTTTACTTTGGCTGCAGTTCCTCACTGTTTAAGTGTATGCAGGAAAAAGTGGTTCCAAAGAGTGATCTGGCTTCTTTATCCTTTCTGGGGCACAGGGGCTAGACACCCTAATATTTCCTGTATTGCTAGTTTAATTTCATAGCTCTTTTAATATTTAATGTTCACCCCATTTAGTGCAAGATAAGCAGGGCAGATGGAAATTTGTTCAAGATCACACAGCTTATCAGGAGTGTAGAAAGGGATTCAGATATCTGAGATATTCCGTGTCCTGGAAAGTAAACATTTCTCAGGTCTTGGGACTGCCTATGTTTACCCCGACCCCAAACCCCATAAAGGGAGGGAGCTTCACTATTTCCCAGAAAACTGTCCAGTGGCCCTGCACACGGGGAACTTATCTCTACTAAGTGAACGCGCTATTCCATCCTATCAATGTCTTTGGCAACATCGCCACTTACCAGCTGGGGTCATTTCATCCCTGATGGCAGGGAGTGAAAGGGCTTCGCGGCCCGCTGGGGTTGCTGTCCAGAGGTCACAACGCAGCTGCCACTCACTGAGGCGTCCGCCTCGGAGGCAAGGCTGTCCCCGACACCGGGGCCCTCAGAGCGAGGACGCGCCTTGGGCGAAGTGACGAGTGCCCCCATCTTAAGGACCCGCCGAGGGCAAGCCCGGGCTGCGCGGCTAACTGGCTGTCCTGGCTGACTCCGGAGAGGTGACAGGCAAGCCTCCAGAGGTCAGTCCTCCGCTATCCCAGAGTGCCTTGGATCCCGGAAGTACCCGGCTTCCCGGAAGTGCCGGCTGGCTGACAGAGCAGTGGGTGGTTAGAGCGCTGCAACTGGAGGGTTGCTCTTCTGGGACCTGGGCGTCCGCTAGAGGTCTGAGAGGGGTTGGGGACGGGGTTCAGAAGGGTGCTGAGAGGCGGAATGATGGAGGAAGAGGAACTGGAGTTCGTGGAGGAACTGGAAGCCGTGCTGCAGCTCACGCCTGAGGTGCAGCTAGCCATCGAGCAGGTGAGCGTTCCGCCCCCTCGGGAGCGGAGTGTGGGGGGTGCCGCAGTTTTGGAAGGTGGGAATTGAGCGGGTGTGGTGGGGCGAGAGGAGGCTGGATTGAAAGGTGGGCGTGGGCAGGGGAAGCAGAGATGGCCGCGGGTTTCTGAATCAGGGGAAGGGAAGCGTCCTCTGTAGGCCTTGATTGTCTTTGGAGGCTGGGCGTCTTGGTGGGTTTGGGTAAAAGAACTGTGCCCCCTGAAGGATGTACCTAGAAAAAGGGACTCTGTGAGTGCAACCTCAGATTCTGGGGGTTATTTTGCTTCATTCATGTACCAGGGTAGTACAGACCCTCTCATTTGTCACTAGCCTCTAGAGGAGCTCAGAATTGGGACAAAAAATGGGTCCAAAAATGACCCTTTGCTTTCCCTAAAAGGTTGAAAATTCCTGCAGTTTGGATTACATTGGGGGATACTCCCAGGAGGCCTTTCTTCTTTGCAGCAACTCTTTAGTTGACTAAATTCTCTTTTCAAGGTTATTAAAATTTTATGAGTGATGATATTAGAAGTAGTGATTTAGTAAAAATACAGATGTGATACCCTTGCCCCTGCAAAAAAAAAAAAAAAAAAAAAAAAAAAAAAAAAGAAGTAGTGATTTAGGCCTTTGTACAGGGTTTCTCTCCTATAAAGGGAGAAAACCTCCCTTAAAGGAATTGTCTTGGAGGTATTATTTAAGAAGGGTTATGCCTCATTTAACAACTACTGGGAAGTTTTTCTAAGTAAAACATTACTTCTACTAATAATTAACATTGACCATTCATACCATGGATCCACCATTGTATTAAATAATGTTTTTGTATTGTTCCATTTACAGACTTTTGGGTGTGTGTTTATCTAGGAGTGCATGGATTGCTCATGCCAACCACATTTGGTACATCCTGATGATACCAGACCATTGGACAAAACTTTTTTCTGTTCAGGCCACAGTGCTCCACCATCCAGCTCTTTTTCTTAGTAGATGACATACATTTCAGTTGCTCTTGGATTTGTTGGGCTCTAATGAATGAAGCAGAAGACAATCAGTTGTTTCAGAAGATCATATTTTTGCTATTTTAAAAGAATATGTTTGAATTTTAGTTTATCTAGTAAGCAGATATCTTGATGTTAAGATGAATTTAGGAATTTTTTCTTACTTTAGTGGTCTGAGGTTTTGAGTAAAATTTTGCAAACAATTATGCAATAGCATACTTTTAAAAATATACCTTTATTTTATTTATTTATGTTTATTTGATGCTGAGGATCGAACCCAGGTTCTCACACGTGCTAGGCAAGCGCTGTACCACTGAGCCACAACCCCAGCCCAACAATAGCATACTTTTAAAGTGTAGTGATACATGAGAAGTTAGGAAGGGTTGATGATGGAATCCCACTTTACCCAGGTATTAAGCTCCAAAGTCATGCATAAAGTGAAAATTCACATATCCACATGTTATCCTTGCAATTCCTTAAGTTGTCCTTGAAGTAAAATGTATAAGCATCTCTTCAATAAGTCTAGTGTTGTTAGTTTACTTCTTCAGCATTGGAGCCAATCTCTTATTTGCTGTTATCACTGGATGAAAAAGTTGACTTGGTTTAAGAGCTTTGTTATATGAAAACACATTAAAACCAAGGATAACAACCAGGAACAGTGAGAGGAATGCAGAGACTGAGGCCACTTGAGGAAATATCATTCTCATAATGGGGCATACACTCATGGCAGGCCTAGTTTCCCACACTCCCTCTGGTAAGGGTATATAATTGAGGTTGTATAAATCATGCATACAATATATCTCTGCCATAAATGTATATTAGAGAAATGGAAATGTTACGCATTTAAATTTTTTTTTTTGTACTGGCAATTGAATCAAGGGGCACTTCACCACTGAGATATGCCCTTAGCCCTTTTTCTTTTTTATTTTGAGATAGGGTCTTTTAGGTTGCCTGGGTTGACCTCCAACTTGTGATCCTTCTGCCTCAGCCTCCTGCGTTGCTTGGATTACTGATGTGGGCCACTGTGCCCTACAATGTTAAACATTGTAGAATCAATCTCTCTTTTTTCCCCTGTCATCTGCCTCACCTCTGCTTCTATTTTAAATTTTTTAAAATATATATATATGGAAAGCTTCTTCTCTGAAGAAGTTGCTTCCCAGCATTAAAACTGTCTTGAACTGGTAAAATCCAGTAAGCAGGAGATCATTTGACTCCTTTTATAATCCCCCTTGTTACATGTTATTCAATTTGTGACTTTTGAAAGGAGTTAGCTGTATTTCTCAGATGGTTTCTTGCTTTCTTCTATGAACCTGAATGCTGGCAGTCCTTAACACTGAAGCATAAAAATTGGGCAGGGAGAGTAGCTCAGTGGTAGAGTACTTGCCTAGCATGGGTGAGGCGCTGGGTTCATTCTCCAGTAACACACACACTCAGAGATTGCTTCAATGCATAGTGAATTCTGCTGTAGAGACATGATTGAGACATGGAACCTAAGTCTATTATTAAGGATTTCTTAATAATAACCATGTCATCAGCTGGTTTACTAATGCTTGCTGAGTTGACATTTCATTTGATATCTGTGGAACTTTTCACATTTGCATATTGTGTTCATTATTTCAAGATGTTAAACTACAGTTGTTGAAAATTAAAGAATATATATTTTAGTTGTGGACAGACCTTTTATATGCGGTGCTGAGAATCGAACCCAGTGCCTCACACATGCCAGGCAAATGTGCTACCTCTGAGCTACAGCCCTTAAAGATTTATTTAATATACATTGTATTACATGTCTATTTCCTTTTTTAAAAAAATATTTCAGTTGGAGATGGACATAACAACTTTTTTTTTTAATGTGGTGCTGAGAATCGAACCCAGTGCCTCACACATGCAAGGCAAGTGCTCTGCCACTAAGTCACAACCCCCAGCCCTGTCTATTTCCTTAATAGATAATTTATTGAGTATTTGTTGCATGTAAAGCATTTTAAAATGAAAAAGTTTTTTTTCCTTTTATCTCTAGAGAACTTACCAATTAATAGGAAAGAAAGAATGTATAAAACAAGGTAGAAAGATAACAGTTATTTTTAAACCCCTCTATCTTGGAATTTATTTTCTTTTTAATTGACAAATGTTGTATGTATTTATGGTGTCCAATATGATGTTTTAATATATAACCTCCTGTTTTTTATGTAGGTGTTTCCAAGCCAGGATCCTTTAGATCGAGCAGATTTCAATGCTGTTGAATATATCAATACCCTGTTCCCAACGGAACAAGTAAGTATAGAGTTTTAGGTTTCCTTCATTTCAATGGTTCCTGGCTCATCTGGAGGATTGTGATTGGTCTGTTATACTGTGTAATCTCAGGGCCCTTAATAAACAAATGAGAGTTAAATTCAAATTGAATTCTTCTGTGACCAATTGTGTTAGAGTAGAATTCATTGTTTAGAAGCATATTATTAGAATTTGTACCCTTTGGTTGTAAGGACAACCCCCCCCCTTTCCTAGTTCAATTTCGTGTTGTATTTGAATAAGTATAAAGAATTTTTGTAACATGGTAGGGAAAAGTAGCAGTGAGGCAGGCAGGATAAGCCCTGAGTCATAAAGCAGCTTTCACTCCTATTTCAAAATGTAAATTTTTACACTTTCTGTTTTATGTTGTTTTGTTGGCTGATTTGCCTAGGTGGCTGGGTTTTTCTTACAATAGATAAGAATTAGAAGCAGCAAAGCTGGTAGAAGAGCAGCTGGAGTTTTTCTTAGGTTTTCACTTATTCATTCTGCAGCTATTCAGTAGTCACCTGTCATGTGTTATTGAATAAAATACAAAGATGAATAAAACCCAGTCCCTGCCCTTGAGGTGTGCATGATTAAGTAGGAGGAGACAATGTTGAATGCTGTAAGAGGTATGGAGGGAAAGCATAATTCTTCCTAGGGAAATTAAAACCTCAGGCAACCCTTTGCCACATCTTGAGGGTTGTTTATTCATTCAGTAGTCAAAAGTCAGCCACCATTTATTGACTAAGAAGTGCCAGGCACTGTTCTAGAAACTGGGGAGAAATGGTAAACATGATAGGTTAATTCCTGGTCCCATGGAGTCTACTGTGGGGAAGAAGACAAGAAATAAATGGATAAATAAATAAATAAATAAATAAGAAATTACAGCTGGGTGTGGTGGCATGCCTGTAGTCCCAGCTACTTAGGAGACTGAGGCAGAAGGATGGCTTCAACCAGCATTAAGGTGTCCAACGTGATGTTTTAATTTATAACCTCCTGTTTTTATATAGGTATTTCCAAGCCAGGATCCCTTAGATTGAGCAGATTTCAATGCTGTTGAATCCAGGAGTTTGGGACCAGCCTAGGCAATATAGTGAGATCCTCATCTCAAAAAAAAAAAAAAAAAAAAAAAAAAAGGAAGAAATTATCAAGTGTGATTAATGATCTGATGAAAAGCAGGTGGCGCAGTGATAGAGCATGAAGGCTTGGGTAGGGGTCTTTTGGATAAAGGAAGATCAAAAGAGCTTAAAGGGAAGCTTCCCTGAGGCAGTTCCATTCAAGCAGAGACCTGATAAATCTGAAGGAGCCAGGCTTGTGGCAATCTGTCAGAACATTGTTTTGGCAGAGAGAACAGCCAAGTAAATCTTCTGGGAATACAAGGGAAAGAAGGTCATTCTAAACATTGGAGGCAGGAAGACCAATTAGGAGGCTAATGCAGTGGGTCCCTGGAGAGTGGCACTGAGAGCCTGAGTGAAGGTGATGGGATGGAGAGAACAGGACTTGAGAACTACTCAGGAGACAGAAGTGACATAGTTTGTTGCCTAAAGGGATGAAAGTCGAGGCTCATATAGAATCTAAAATTCATTTTAAAAATATCTACTCTGCCTACCCTTCTAAGAAGGAAAAAATGTAGAGAGCAAGAGTGAGCAAGACAGATGTGGTCCTTACCAACATGGAATTTATAGTCTTTCCTAATAATTAATTATACTGTTTGCAGATTATGAGTGGATTATGAAGTTGCAGTGACTTGTTTGTATCATTATTATTGTTACTTGCTCTTAAAAGAGTCCTAACTTCTGCTACAACTATAATAATGGTTAACATTTATTGGGTATTTACTGTGTACCACGTGCTGTTGTAAGCACTTAACAATGATATATTCTCCACATAGTTATTGTTCTAATTATTCAGAGAGAATACCAGGGCAAGGAGTGATAAAGAACGCTCAGTTTAAAAGTGCCACGAAGGAAGCCCACTAAATATGGTGAAAGCTGCCTGAAGAATCCAAAAAAGCTTTCCCTGAGGAAATGGCATTTTAACTGAGCATTATAGGCAACTCTAAGGATTTTGAGCTTGATTTATAGCCTAATAGACTGAGTAGGTGTTGGCATCTTTACCCAGTATTGAGAGAAAGAGAACAGATTTCAGTTGTAAGTAGAGTCAGAAGAGAACATGTCATGAGCTCAGTTTTGAACACATTTGGGTCATCTAGGTGGAAATATGTAGTTGTATGTTTGAGTATGGAGTGCATAATCCCCATCATTGTGAATATCTTGACATACATTCTTTTGAATTTTCTCTTTTTGAATTGTTTATGTGTTTGCTGTTCTATTTTTCTTAAAATGCTGTATTTTTATTTGGTACATAGTGATTGTACATATTTATGAGGTGCAGTGTGACATTTCAATACATGTATACAATGTGTAGTGATTAGATCAGGGTGATTGTGTTTCTGTTACCTCAGACGTTTGTCATTTCTTTGTGTTGGGAACATTCAGAATCCTCTTAATACTGTTTTGAAATATGCAGTTAATTGTTAATTATCCTATTGTGCTCTGGATTATTAGAAGTTATTCTTCTAACTGCACCAAACTTTCTAATGGACATAATTTTTTTAAATAAAGTTTTAAAAATAATATATTGTGTGATTGTCTTTTTGGAGATTTCACAAATAATCTTTATAGCTCAACATTTTCTGTGAAATAGGAATTTTAGGAATTAGCTAGAGATAACCATTTGGTAACAATTGGCATCAGGATAGCAATTTTAGCCACATAAATGTTTCACTTATCCTACCTTATCAAGAAGGCTGTCTGAACAAAGTGTTAGATTTGAAAATTACATGGGTTCTTACCTCTTCCTGAAATGATTGTATATATTTTTTTTAACTGCTAAAAGTAGCACAAGACATTTGACATTTGTTGCTCCACAGATTCAGTTATATGTCTTGTCCCAATTAGGCCTCCATGTGCATGATAATGTATAGTGACATTTCTTAGGGTAACTCAAAGCATATGACACAGGGTTGCCTTTATTTCCCTGGTCCCAGAATTATATTTAGCAGTTCATCTACCAACCCAGATGCCCATGGACCTTAATGAAAAAGTAACAGAAAGTAGCAGCCTAACATGCCACTTTTTTCAAACTACTGCTAAATTTGGGCAAAAGCCACTTATATACTTCGTGGACCTACAGTGTGTACTTGTTAACTATGAGTTTAAATTGTTTTAAAAAATGTTAGTATGTGAACAGTAGATTTAGTGTCACACCAAGGAAGGGGATCTGTTGAGTGGCAAGTGCTTGCCTGGAGGCTGGAGTGTGGATTGGTCCTTGGATGTCTCTATTTCACTAGGTTTGGGTCCAGGGGAAGTTCAACCTGTACTTAACAGAGTTTCCTACGTGATTCTGAAGAGTATCTGGGTTTGGTAACAATGATCTGGAAAACCTTTTTAGTCTCCTAGCAGTAAACTGAAGATAATCATCCATCATGTTGTTGGTTTTATTAAGAGAAAATTAAATTAAATTTATGAAAAACTAGCATATTTTCAGCATTCATGGGAAGTTGAGTAGGAGGATTGCTTGAGTCCAGGAGTTCAAGATCCACCTGGGCAATGTAGTGAGACCCAAAAAAGAACTGAGTCTCAAAAAGAAAAGAAAGAGAAAAACTAATATAATTAGAACTTTGAAAAAACGAGTTACAGGGAGCTGTTTAAAATAACTTTTAATAACTCCCAGAGTGTTCTGAATCTAATATTTTTAAGTGAAAAAACCCAAGGTATCTAATTACCTGTCCCAAATTTTTTGTTTATTTATTTTTGTTGTCATTTTGTGATGTTGGAAATTGAACCCAGTGGCACTCTATAACTGAGCTATATTCCCAGCCATTTTAATTTTTATTTTGAAACAGGGTCTCACTAAATTGCCTAGGCTGGCCTTGAACTTGTGATTCTCTTGCCTTAGCCTTCTGAGTAGCTGGGATTACAGGCACGTGCCACCACGTCTGGCTCAGTTTATTTTTTAAAAATCCATATATTTTCATAGAAGAATAAAATGCAATATACAAAAATACTAATAGTAGCTATACTCTTGGAAACACAGGGTTATATTTCTTGTTCTGCATTTTCTGTAATCAGCATGGATTGTCATTAAAATCAGTGAATGCTTTTCAATAATTCAAACATTAAAAATCTTATACAATTAAAACTGTACAACCTCATTAAGACTAAACCAGATGAGTGATTCTCAGAGAGGTTATACCACCTTCATCAAGGAAAGCCAGTCTGGATTCCTACTGGTTTTCCCCCGACTCCAGAAGGATTCCTACCATAAGGAGGTACTGAAATGATGGGAGGAAGTGTCTCATATCTGTCAGGTATTTGGGGGTGCAGAAAAAGTAGGTCAAGACCCATTGCACAAGAGGTAGCATTATAGAGTAAGAAAGAGCAGAGACCTTAGGAATCAGACAAACTTACTGAATCTCATGACATCTCCTCCATCTTAGAGCATCTCTCCATTCAGAGCATATTTTCCAAATCAATCTATCTTCCTTCTTTCCTTCCTTTTTTTCTTCCTTTCTACCTGGGAATTGAACCCAGGGATGCTTTACCACTGAGCTATATCCTAGCATTTTTTTTTTTTTAAAGACAGGATCTCATTAGGTTGAGAGGATTAAGGGAAATACTTTCTGTAGTGTCTAGAGCAGTGTTGCATAATAAACCCAAATCAAGTGGTAGCACCTTTACCCTTTTACTTCCCTAGTAGAAAAATCTGGAAAATTTGTCTGGGTATAGCATACATGCCTGTGATCCCAGCACCTCTGGCAGCTAAAGCAGAAGGATTGCAAGTTCAAGGCCAGCTTCAGAAATTTAGTCAGACCCTCAACAACTTAATGAGACCCTGTTGTAAAAATAAAAAGACTAGGAATGTACTTAGTGGTGAAGTGCCCCTGAGTTCTACCCCAGTACAAAGAAAATGAATGAATGAATGAATCAGTCAATTAATCAATCAATCAATCTGGAAAAATTAAATATGAAAGTGGTTATCCATGGGTCCATCTAACAGTCAATCAAGTATTCTGTAGTTTCAGGATGTTTCTTTCTAGTTTTTTTGAGGGGGAGGGTTTTGAACCTAAGGGCACTTTACCACTGAGCTACATCCCCTAGCCCCCCTTTTTTATTTTGAGACAGGGTGTCACTAAGTTGCTGAGGCTGGCCTTGAATTTGGAATTCTCCTCCCTCAGCCTCCCTTGTCACTGGGATTACAGATGTCTGTCACTCTGCCCAGCTTCTATTCTTTTAATGATTATATTCATGGAGTGCCTGGTATTTTAGACATGTTTTCCCCTTCTTAGTACAGTATCCAAAAGCAGTCTACTTTGTTTTATAATCTCCTTGATTAGTGTCTCCAGGGGTGGCATAAAAGTTCATCAGATAATTTGACCTAATTTATTTAACTTTTCTTCTAAGAATAGGTCTTTAGGTTGTCTCCAGGTCTTCACTATTGTAATGCAGTTGAACAACTGACTACATAAATATTTTTCATTATTGTTCTTAGAAAAGTTGCTATGGCTTGACTAAGAGCTTCAGGTCCAAGAATTATTAATTTAGGAAATGGTTCCAGTACCACTAATAGTATTTACTGATATGGAATGACCTCCAAGTTATATTGTTAAATGAAAAAGCATGGTGCAGTACGCTTTATGGATGTGCTTTTTTTTTAAAAAAAAAAATATGGAACGCTTCACGAATTTGCGTGTCATCCTTGCACAGGGACCATGCTAATCTTATCTGTATTGTTCCAGTTTTAGTATATGTGCTGCCAAAGCGAGCACATGGATGTGCTTTTAACACAGACTAGGTCTAAGAAAGTAGAAAAGAAACTGGCTCAGAGCCACTGCCTCTGAGAAAGAGAACTGGGGGGGTCGTACAGCACAGGGTAAGTTTGGAAGCCTTGCATCTCATTATGAACCCTCTTTTACAATCTGAATTTTTGGTCATGTACATGTTTTAACAATTTTAAATATCTTGCAAAATGAAAAAAAATATATTTTTAGTTGTAGATGGACACAGTACCTTTATTTATCATTATGTGTTGCTGAGGATTGAACCCAGGGCCTCACATGCCGGGGGAACGCTCTTATCACTGAGCCACAATACTAGCCCTAGCTTGCAAATATTTTGATGTTCATAATTTAAATCATATATGTATACAAATTATACAATTTTGGTAGGATTTTCCATTTTCAGAAAAGGTATAAGAGTAGTACAGAGAATTCTTGGCTTCCCTTCACCCAGATTTCCCAAATATTAATATTTTTAAAATATTTTTTGGGGGCTAGGACTGTAGCTCAGTGGCAGAGCACTTGTCTAACATGTGTGAAGCACTGGTTCGATCTTCAGCACCACATAAAAAAATAAATAAAATAGAGGTATGCTGTTCATCTACAACTACAAAAAAATTTTTAAAAATAGTTTTTAAAGTACCACAAAAATATTTCTTTTGAAAGAATGGGCTTTACAGAGATAGGCCAGGAACTGTTAGGCCCATTTTGCATATGATGAAATAGAGACTCAAGAGAGATTTCTTTTTCCCTGAAGCAAGTTAGTAGCAGTGGTGGAGGTAGGCCAAACCCCAGGTCTTGTGATAACTTGGCTGCTGTTTATATCTGTGATGGTGATGGAAATCATACCCAATCCAGTTTTGAATTGACAGATTTAACAGAATAGGATTGAAACCAGTTGAACTGGATTTCTCAGTTAAAGAGACTTCTTTTTTCTGAGGTTCATCCTTACCTCAGTCTGTTTTTGGAGTTCTGAAATTTCTGAGTAATGGTTGGCTCAGTCAGAGCAGTGACAAGATGTGAATAGTCCAGTCTTACATCTCAAACATTTGGGACCTGTTTCTCTTACCAGAACTGCTCCTGGAAGCCTCTAGGCCTCCTACAGCCAGAAGAGGTAGCCAGGAGCAATTTATAAGCACAATTTCTGCACTACCTCCAATTCCTTCTGAGGTAAAATATCTGTTGAGGGTTTATAAAGTTTTTAAAACTTTGGAGTTAAAATGGTACTATAAAATTGAACCTTCTTTTTTCCACTAGAGGGCATTATTTCCTCACATTGTTTTCATCTCTAAAAGTCAGAAATGGTCCTTTTGTCATTATCTTAAAAGCTTTATTATAATCACAGTAGCAGTACCTGTCAATATAGAGTAATCAAAAATACTCATAAGCAAAAAGAAGAAAAATTAAATATCCCTTCTTTTTATATATTAAAACTATTAATGCAGATTTCAGAGATTACAGCTGCTCTAGTATGTTACAACAGCTAGTGTGTGCCCTTCCAGATTTTTTTCTAATGGCTCTTCATTAAGCTTAAAAAATAAATTTATTTATTTGTTGAAGTGTTACATGATATAGAGGAGGGTACAAATCTTAAGTGAATAGTGATGAATTTCACAGAAGGAATAACGCCACCCAGACCAAGAAATAAAGCATTTGGGGGCTGGGGGTGTGGCTCAGTGGTAGAATGCTTACCTAGCACCTGTGAGGCACTGGGTTCGATCCCCAGCACCAGATAAAAATAAATAAATAAAATAAAGGTATTATGTCCATATATAACTTAAGTTTTTTTTTTTTTAAAGAAAACATTTAATAAAATATCTTCAAAGGCCTTTCTTGCTTCCTCACAGTCACTAGCCCTCTCTAAGATAATCACTATTTTGGCTTCTAACGGTTTTTTTTTAATTGAATAAATGTAATCATTCAGTATATACTCTTGGTTTTGGCTCCTCCCCCTTCAATATTATGTTATTGTCCATGTTATTGTGTGTTGTAATAGTTATAATTTATTTTCTTTGCTGTATTTTATTATATGAATTTGTTACAATCTTATATGCTAGGGATTATCCAACTTTCTATTAAAGGTTCAGATAGTAAATATTTTAGACTTTGTGAGCAAGGCAGTATCTGTCAGAACTTTCCAACTCCTCCATTGCAGCTCACAAGCAGCTACAGTATGTAAGTGAATGGACATGGCTATGTTCCAGTGAAACTTAATTTACAAAAAATACTTTCTGGGCTAGATTTGGCAGTGGTTGGCAAGTTCTGCTTTTCTTTTTTTTTTCTTCTTTTCTTTTCTTTTTCAGTACTGGGGATTGAACCCAGGACCTTGCATATGCTAGGCAAATGTACACTGAGCTACACCCCAGCCCCTTATTTTTTTAAAAAAAGTAAAAATGGTATCATACTGTGAGATTAACTTTTTGAGATTTTGTAAGTAGATGTTATAGCTCATCATTTCTCTGTGAAATAGGAATTCCAGGAAGTGAAATAACAGCTGGACACTCTTTTCTTCTTTATTTTAGTCTCTGGCAAATATAGATGAAGTTGTGAACAAAATTAGATTGAAAATAAGGTAAGTAACATCATACAATTGTCAATTAATGAAAAGTATGTTATTAATTTAGTTAATTACATTCCAAAAGTATACTTTTCTTTGAGAGGACTGAAATTTCAAATTAAAAAAAATAATGATTTTTGTTTTATCTGAATGTCCATGAAAACCCCATTTTTTTTTAAAGAGAGAGAGAATTTTAATATTTATTTTTTAGTTTTCGGCAGACACAACATCTTTGTTTGTATGTGGTGCTGAGGATCAAACCTGGGCCGCACACATGCCAGGCGAGCGCACTACCGCTTGAGCCACATCCCAGCTCCGAAAACCCCATTCTTGGAGTGGGGATATTGCTCAGTTGATAGAGTGCTTGCCTCATCTGTACAAGGCCCTGGGTTCAATCCCCAGTACTACATACACACACACACACACATACACACACACACACAAATTTAAAAAAAAAAAAAACTCATTCTTAGCCAGTCTTGAATTATTCATAAAAAATTAAGGAAGCTATAACAGAGTTTGCTTTAAAAATGCATAATAGTTAATAATAAAAGTTAATTATAAAACTTCTTATTTAAATGTTTTATTTATTTATTTATTTATTTATTTGTAGTACTGGGATTTGAACCCAGGGGCACTCTAGTTCACCACTGAGCTATACCCTGGCCCTTTATAAAAATTTTTTTTTTTTAATCTTGAGACAGGGTCTTGCTAAGTTCCCAGGCTGGCATTTAACTTGTGATCCTCCTGCCTCAGCCCCCGAGTTGCTGGAATTACAAATATGCATCACAGCTCCTGACTGTTTTTAGTGGTTTTATTTCTCTAGTAGGTTTTTCTTTTTCTGTATTCCCAAGGGTCAGATATGAACCTAGGCTTACATGTGATACACATGGTTGGTTGCCTACTAGCTAATAATGTCAGATTTGCTTGACCTGGGTGGTGGCATAGAATTAAACATTATGATTAACCCAAGATGTGATTGCTCAGAGTGGTCATTAGGTGTCCTTCCTGCTCAATAATCTTGTTCTGGCTTATCCGTGTCTGGGTTTACACATGGCAGGTACTTGATAAATGTGTGCTCATTGTATAAATAGATTGATTTCATTGCCTTAAATATAGTTTGGTTTTTGTGTCTGTTTTCAACTATTGAGGGAAAGGGTTCATCTTGAACCCAGGATATGAAATTTTTCTCTACGACCTTTGGTATTTGTGTGCAGGTCTCTGCCCCATGTATGTGTTGTTGCATCCATATTTTAGGAAGCACAAAGAGCTTCCTATTGTTTTGTTGGGCTTCAGCAGTAACATTCTAGTAGAGACCACTAAGTTGTCCAGGGTTTGCATGGAAAATGAAAATTCCCTGGTGATTCAAAGTTCACTTATGGACTAGGTATTTTCTTTCTTCTTCTTCTTTTTTTTTTTTTTTTTTTTTTTTTTTTTTTTTTTTTTTTGGTGCCCAGGATTGCACTCAACTACTGAGCCACATCCCCAGCCCTTTTTTTGTATTTTATTTGGAGACAGGGTCTCACTGAGTTGCTTAGTGCCGCACTAAGTTGCTGAGGCTGGCTTTGAACTTGAGATCCTTCTGCCTCAGCCTGTTGAACTGCAGAGGAAAGAGGAGCAGGAAGCCATCAATCTCTCTCATACACATTGCATGATGGGGTACATAGGGTAAGCACAGATTTCACATATCACCTTGGCTCCTTGACTCTTTTAAGGTCACCGAAGAAAGGATTTTGTGTGTGGTAATTTGTATTTTTCTGGCTTCTTCCTATAGAGCTACTGCAACTTTATCATTCCTGATTTATTCCATGAAAAATAAAAAGGTTTTATTGGTTCTTTCAAGCAGCTCTGAAAAGTAAAAGTAGACTTTTTTTTTTGTACCAGCGATTGAACCCAGAGGTACTTAACCACTGAGCCACATCCCAAGCCATTTTTTTTTTTAATGTTTTTATTTTGAGACAGGCTCTGGCTAAGTCCTCAGGGTCTTTCTATGTTATTGAGGGCTGTCCTTGAACTTGTGATTCCCCTGCCTCAGCCTCCTGAGTCACTGGCATTATAGATATGCACCACTGTGCCTGGTCTAAAAATTGCCATGTTTTTAAACAAAAAACTCATCAGTCTACGCTGGGGTTGGCTTTGCACTGTTGTTGCTGCCCCTTAGGTACAAGTCCTCATTTTTATTTCATTCACTCTTATTTGATGTTCTGGATAAGTAGGTGCAATTTGTAGAAGCTGATGGATAAATTACCAAATTTTTTCTTATAGTTCACCTAAAGTAGAGATTTTTGAGTAATTTATATCCTTTAACTTTTTTTGCTAGGAGACTGGATGACAATATTCGAACAGTTGTAAGAGGTCAGACAAATGTTGGGCAGGATGGAAGGCAAGTAAGTAATTTATTCCTCCATATTAATTATACTCCCTTAGATGGGGTAGAGAGAGGGGAGGGGAGGGGAGGGGAGGGGAGGGGGGATAGGAAGGGGATAGGAAGGGCAGCAGAATACAACAGACACTAGTTTGGCAGTATGTATAAACATGGCTGTATAATCAACGTGATCCTGCAATCTGTACATGTGGGAATAATAARAATTCATACCCCATTTGAAACAAATGTATGATATATGATATGTCAAGATCAATGTAATGTTTTGAGCAACCAATAAATTTCTGATGTTTAAAATAAAAAAAAAAGAAAAGGACAAAAAATATATACAGCAAAGTCACAGAAAAATCACAAGTAGCTGATAAACAAATTAAAAAAGATGTTCAACTTCATTCATAAAGAAAAAAAATTATACTCCCTTAATTTCTAGAAGATCCAACAATCAAGTGAACAAGATGTTGATCTGTTTGCAGAGCACTTTTTTTTGTTCTGTTCCATATACATCAGGAAATGTGCATGACTTATATGCCTGTTCCCTGCCGCATAGCAGGGGTAGGATGCCCAGATCAGCCTTGAGCTGTCACTCAGTGTCCCTTGGATCAGGATCATGTGTAGTAGCATAGCTCATTCAAGGCCAGGAACATGCAGGCTTAATGAGCAAATTGGTTTCCTTGTCTTTGACCTAGTACCAGATGTCTCTTTTATTTTGTGTACTATGGCTAAATGAGATGACTGCTTTTGTCTATCAGGTAAGTTGTTGGGGGTTTGTTGCTTCAAAAGATGGTAACCTGACACAGCTACAGTTCCTCATGCCTATTTTTGTCAGAAGCAGGTAACTATGGATTCATTTCAGAGTTTTACAGTTCTTTTGGGATCTTAGTAAAGAGAGGTATTGAGAGGGGAGAAAGGGAAAAGAAGGGTGTGGGGGAGGTATTCTTCAGTGATTGAGAGGCCAGATGTTATCTATTAGCCATATTCCTTTTTATTTGGATTCTGCTTTTCTGTATAGGTATCGTATTTCAGAAATTACTGTCATAACAGAAATGCTGAGCATGCCTTTCTAGCCTTCCTCTCCACAGCGCCTGGTCCTGCCTCTTCAGTGCTTGTTTAGTTCAGTCAGGAGAGCGCTGTTATGCATAGCCTTGGTCCTTTTATCTCTTCTATTAGACATTTTTTAGTCCAATTAATTTCTGAAAATGTTCGTTATGCTTGCCCAGATTTAGGGTGGGTGAGGGGAGGGTGCAATCTTACTTAGAAATTTCCTGATCTTTGATATTTCTGTTTCCTTTGCTACTGGCTCCACAGGTGTTATGAGTCCTTCTCCATTTTCAGTTGTATTCATCTTTCTGTTTTCCCACGCTTTATGGCTTCTCCCCTCCTCTTAACAATCTTCTTCTGTTGGTCTATTTGTAAGTCATCTGTCTTCCTGTTATCATAATCAGTATTTGTTTGAAGACATGCTAGGTTCTTAAAACCAATCCTATTTCCTGGACTTTTTTTTTTTTTGGCAGAGGGGTATCAGGGATTGAACTCAGGGGCACTAGATTACTGAGCCACATCCCCAGCTCTTTTTTGTATTTTATTTAGAGACAGGGTCCCATTGAGTTGCTTAGTGCCTTGCTTTTTGCTGAGGCTGGCTTTGAACTTTCGATCCTCCTGCCTCAGCCTCCCAAGCTGCTGGGATTACAGGTATGCACCACTGTGCTGGGCTTCCTGGACTTTTGTATGGTCTTAGCCCTTATTGCTTTGTTTCTGCTTACTGAGGTAAGAAGTACTGCTTCTCTGGCAGAATAGGCCCATGCACACTGGGCCCTTAGAGATAATGAAGAGGAACAGGGTAACCCACAAACACTCTACACTGATTAACTTTTTTTTGTCTAGTCATGTCATTTGCCTCTTCAGAAACCTCAGTGCCTCTAGCTTACTAAATGAAGTAAATCCAAGTTTCTGTGCTTTATATTCAAGGCTTCAGTCTCCATTTCTGATTTTGTCTGTCCTTATATTCCATACATACTGAAGACTTGGTGCCCTACAAGTGCGCTCTGCGCTTTCTGGGCCTATGCTTACGTATTTCTTTGAGCCTGAAATGTCTTTTCTTCTCTTTCTTTCTTCCAATAGCTACATTTCAAAAATCTTACCCATCTAAGGGCTGGCTTAAATAATCTTTCCTTTATGATATGTTTACCTCATCTGGGTAACATCAAAGGAATCAGAATTTTAGAGCTCAAAGGGACTCTGAATTCATCTGGCTTACTCCTCTCATTCTACAGAGGAGAAGATTGATCCCAGTATTCCTCATTCAGATGTGTGTTCTGTCTGTCCCAGAATTCCCACAGTCTTCTGCTTATGCTTTGTCTTGGGTTATGTGGTCTCCCTTGACTTACTGGTAAATACGTTTTGTCCCCTTGATTAGTTTTGAAGCTTCATGAAGGTAAGAACTACATCTTTCTCATCTTCATATTTCAGTCCCCATAGTCCACGTGCAACATTTTATTCAGCTGTAATGAATATTTGGTGTGTGTATGATTGTTGATTACAAATAAAAAAAAGTTCTTGACCATAAAAACATCATTTTAATCAGTTTTTGAGTATTCCTTTATTTTTTTTTAAAGAGAGAGAGACAGAGGGAGAGAGAATTTTTAATATTTATTTTTAGTTTTCGGTGGACACAACATTTTTATTTGTATGTGGTGCTGAGGATTGAACCCAGCGTCGCACGCATGCCAGGCAAACGCACTACCGCCTGAGCCACATCCCCAGCCCTATTGAGTATTCCTTTATAGTGGTTGAAAGCTTGGTTCTTGCATGAGATTTTTATTTCTTTGCCGTGTTGGGGTTTGAACCCAAGGCCTTATGTTCTACTGCTGAGCTATACCCCTGCCCAGATTCATGTATGAATAGTCCCAGTATACTACTATTTGGAATAGCACTACTGTTTAGTGTGATTCAACCTTCACTTGGAATAGCTCACTATAAACTTTTTAATATTCAAGAGAGTCACAGGTATTTAAAACTCCAGGAATGTGAAAATAAAGTAGATGATTCATCATGACTTTTGGTGGGTCATGGTATGTGAATATACATCTTTTAGTTATTTACATTTTAAGCTGGGGGTCACAAACTCACCAATTTGGGGAGTCAGGCCCAGAAGTAGGTGGGCTGCAGGAATGTCGATACTCCCCACCTTCATATGGTAATGGGTTACAAGTTACTACAGCAGAGCAGGTCATATTTCAGAGAGCAAGAGCACATTTTCAAGAATGTTTAGATAGCATTTCAATCTGTGATGGAATTTTGTATTCGTCTCCTTAGAATCCAGACAGAGAGGAAGCCCAGAAGAAATAATTGCTTTTCCTGTCATCCCCTCCATCTGTCTTTTCCAACAGTTTGTAATGCAAGCTGAAGTTGAGACTTTTTTTTCCAGGGAGCTTTTAAGTCCTGTCCTTGTCAACTCCTAGGCATGAAAGCTTTACTCTCCAGCTTTGGCTGGCAGTTGTTTTGCCGAAGGGAGTCTCTATTTGACTGGCACAGGCTTGAGAGAATTATGGATGTTCCAAAATATTGAGTTTTATAGGTCAAGAGGCCCCACGTTCCCCTCTTCCCTGGAACACAGGAAAAGTTCGCTTTCAGAACTCGTTTTCTATGCTTCTGAGGAACACTCAGGAGGAGAGCAGCAGTGTGGACAACAACGAGTTTTCCTTTCATAAATTTCATCTCTATCACGTTCAAGTTGAATAGATGTGCTTTCTCAATCTGTGCAAATAAGGGGAAAGTGTTTACTTCACGTTTGTGGTGTCTTAAAATACATTTTTAACAGAAGAGTTTTAAAAGAGTTCTTTGTAAAAATTCCTTGGGAGCAAGGGATGTTCTAGAAATTGAAGACACAGTGCGGCCATTTCTTTACTTCCTAACAATTTTCCGGAACCCCAACTTGCATGGTTAGCACTGTGCAAAGCATTTTGGAGAATTCTTTGCTTGTTGACCACCTCCTATGTGGGCCAATTTGAACTCTTGTCTGTGACCTCTTTTAACCAGACGGTGATGCTTTTACAAAGTTAATATGGCATGGAGTCCTCCCCATTTTTATCTGTTGAAATCATCAATCCAAAGCTTTAATTAAATACCCACATGTTTGAAAGTTGGTGGATAAAATGAGTCAATTCAGCAAGTACATGATTTGATATGCTATGAAATTTATGCAGCTTCCCAGTAATTAAAATGGACAGCTTGAATGTAGGTGGAAAGGGAGGTGAATAGAAGAGCAGGTTAGAGAAGGAAAAAGCTGGCATGTGAAATTGCAAGAGTAGCCAAACCTTGACCAGTTCCCAGTGTTCTCACCGAGAATCACCAAGACAGATCAGCCACTGGGTTTCTGTATCTTGAATGGAGCTTGGGTGCAATGGGGCTGTTTCTTTGGTCAGAGTAAGGTGTGGGAGGGGAAGAGAATTATTATTGCCCTCTCCAGCTCCGATCACTAAAATTTTGATTTGGAAGAAGCTTCAGATAATTGTAGTGCGAGATGCCACCCAGTTTGGGAATTCTTTATATAACATCTATGACATTGCATCCTTACAGTGATGGGAAGCTCCTGACTTCATTGACCCACACTGAATAGGACAAACTCTTCCAGTTTTGTACAGATTTAATTATAAGAAACTTTCTTAGACTGAACTGAAATAGTAAAATAGACTTCAATGTAGCTCCTCATTGATTTAATTTTGCCAGCTGGACCAGTGTAAGCCTAATCCCTTTTTCTTATTACAGCTTCTGAAATTTAAAATGGTTATTATGTTCCTTTCTTACTGTTTCTTTTCTAGCCCAGCCATTCTAAGTTTCCTGAACTTTATGATGTAATTTCCAGCTCCTTTATCATCCTGATAGCTTTGCTTTGGTTAGAAATTTGTCCGCTTCCCTCTTAAAATATGGTTCCCAGGAGTAGACATACCATGGGAACATACAGAGGGACAGTTTGCCTCCTTGTTCTAGACTGGAATCATTCAGGGG